TTTCGCTTGTTTGTTTCTAAAACTGAGGTCTGCTTCAGCAATGGATATCGAGGTATGGATCGTGTCTGTAATGTTGACCTCGTCTTATAATTTGATTATGGATATAGCACATATAGGTTAGTAAGCTCTTACATAAGGTTTTATTGCATCTAGCAAAGGACGATCCGGTTGATTTACCTCTGCGCGATCTTCTTCTGGTACCGGTCCTAACGCTACCCTTCCTATAGGTATGTGTAGTCTACCGTCACCGATATCTAAAGTAAGCTAAAACATCCTCCTTAGAAAAATTTTAAAAAAATAGCTCACCAAGTCTAGATATTCCGCCTTGACAGACCCGAGAGCCTAGAAGAACACAAATACTTTTGAAACGGCAAGATTGGTTACATGTGAAAGAAAATGATGATATATAAGCAAACCTGTTTCCGACGGCAATGGCAATTTTGGCAGTGACATTAATGTTGTCATCGGTCTCTCCTTACCCTAAATTTGAGTATAAAACAGATCAAAAATTGAAGAAATTTTCACTTGGTAGAAATAAAGAGATGCTGTGAGCAAGATTTTATGAAAAAACAAAGCTAACATTAAAGAACAACGATGTAGTATGATCCTGCCACTAAGTAAAAAAGGAAATAAATACCGCTTTCAGTCTACTTTTCGACTGGTCCTCTTCAGAGAAGTCAAAGAATAAGTCATCGATATCCACATGCTCTTGCAATGACTAAATTCAAAGACAAATTTTTAAAAATGTTTTTGAAGGATATATCATAAGAAAGCCAGAAACCAAAGAAACCCACCAATTTCGGCTTTGTGAGAGTTTCCGAAGACTCGCTTTTGTCAGGTGGAGTTGAGTACTGCAACACCTGATCACTTGGAGTAGTGGACTGTTCCTCGGACGCTGTCGCATAGATGGATTGCACATCTAGATCGATCATTTCGAAATCGTCTAGCCGAGCTACAGGAGGTAAAGGTTCGCGTTCTTGTTTAGCTGCGTTGGCTGACTGTAATGAATAGAAGAAATCAGAGGGAAACATTGGCTTTTCTAACACATTAAATCAATAAAATTGTACAATAAAAAGCTTTAAGGAAGAGATTAAAAAATATGTTATTAGTGAAACGAAGAGCGAGTATAAAAAAAGCTTACTTCCTTATCCAGCGACGACAACTCGCTAGGCGACTCCTCAGCTATTGGTGAGCCAGTTCTTCGGGGAGGGCCTGCTTGAATAAGTCGAGCATATGGTAGTGCTTCTAAAAACGCACTGCAATGTTTCTTACGAGTAAATCCACTGATAGCTTCCTATATGTTTTCAAGAAGGCACAATCTAGAATCGATGCTAGTTTGACCTTAGGGTTAAGCTCTGTCTCTTAAGTTCTGATTGTAAGCACTAAAATATACAAAATGTTTGCTCTATTGATCAACATGTTCCTCAGAATGTCTCATTTCACAAAAGTAATGAATAAGCATAATTGATCTAGTCAACTCAAAAAAAAGAAACTGATAGCATATAAATCGCACAAAACAAAGATCTAACCTTCCGCTGGGGTAATATCAAACAGAGGCTGTGTAGATTGAGCAAAATAATCCATGGGCGGTGAGCCAGCACGTTCAGATTCCGCAAAATCCATATCAAACGATTGCCGAGATGATAGTCTTACTCGATGATTACGCGGTGTACTGGATAAGCCTCTGAACTTCAAATTGATAAAATTGAAATAGTATCTTTACACGAACTATGTATCATCAATTTCTCAATTTGCCCGATACCTCTTTGCAACATTTGCTGCCATGCGCGCCACAGACTCTCGACGTTCGGCTCTCGGACGGAGGCCCACATCGCTTCCAGCTTGACTGAGACTTCTGGCTATAGAACCTGGAGTTCCAATGTCGGGAACAGCTCCACCATGAGAGGGGAAAGAAAAATTCTGCAAGAATAAATTTTTAAAATTCTGCAAAGGATCAGAAAAAAACATGTTAGAAGAATCGCTCACAAAGCAGTAAAGTCACAATTTATAAAGTCGTATACTATAGACATACCGTGTCAGACCCCTGCACATGCGATGGCCCAGGATGATCCACAACATCGTAATGCGGACCAGCATCAATTGATCGCGCTAAAGTCCAAATTTAAACGAAGAGAATGAAAAAGCAGAGAGAGTGAGTGTCCTCCACATTCAAAAGTCAAATATACTCAAAAGTTAAGAGCTAAATATACATATATATATAAATATATATATATATGTATATATATATATATGTATATATATATATAAGAACTTCGAGAGAAAAGCAAGAAATACACTCTGTTTTTTTTTGAATCTGAGGAAAGGAAGGCGATACATCTACCTACCTTCAGTCAAAACACGATCCTGATTTAGATTGTACTTCTTGGCTAAAAATCGTAACCTTTTTGATCCCCAATTTCGCCATATCTCTCCTTCGGTATCATTCCAACCGACAAAATTTGCCGATCCATTTAGTGCCATTTGAATTCTGCAAAAGATTTTTAAAGTAACTGACGTGAGATTCATAGCAAGTTCCAGAAGAAGACCACTGATGATGTAATAATCGGCAAATACCAGTCTACAATAATCAATCATAAAAAGAAGTTGATGACTCAGGAAAATCTTTGCAAAATAAGGAAAAAAGTACAAAATTTACTGGCTCTGTCCACGATCCAGTGGAGGTCGTTGATGCGCGTGAGGTATGGTTGGTGGAGGTAGCGACTGCGCAGATGTTTCGCTCTGTAAATAATCAATTGTGTGTTCAAGAGTACCACCAAACAAAAAAAAAAGAGTTTTAAAGAGACAATTCATTACATGTTTAGCATAAATTTGCGCGATAGCATGACGAAAAGAAAAAGACGAACTTTTGTTTAATAAACTAGGCGATCTAGCTTTGTCCGCAATGTTGGGAATTATTCAAAGCAAATTTTAACAAGTCAACCTCTTTCCCAAATAACTGACGTCCATGCTACCAATAAAATAACTCTTTTAACACATTAACGTACATCCAATAAAAAGCGATTCTTTGCGAACATCCCTGTTTAGCTCAAATTCTACCAATCTGATATGAACTACAGATCTCCTTTTCCCTTGAAAACTTTGGGAAAACGCTTCAAATTTTCTCTCCAGAATGAAAAAAAAATTTCATAACAGGTTATCCATCTCCCATGAAAAAGCAAATGGCCAACTCTCGCGCAGTACAAATGTGAAGAAAGCTACTAATTTTTCAGATTTGAGAGTTCCACTTTGCAGCACAGAAGAAAGGTATAAACTTCCAAAATTGATATTTTGGTACAACTTAACTTATATGTGGCTGAGATAATAAGGCAATTTTGATAATTGACACATATCACTACATCCATATCAAATTTCACTGCACACCGTAAAGTCCTGATAAAGTTATTAGACACTAAAC